CTTTGATTTACTCTGTCTTTCCAAATTTGGAAGTTTTGTAACTGGGCTTCCGAACCTGCCCAGCCACTTTCTAGATGCCGACCCTAAAAAAAGGTTTCATCTCTGCCTACAGGTCATCTCTCAGCACTTTCTTGGAAAATTCCTGCTTTTTGCTTTATTTATTATTATTTTTATTATTTTGCATAGCCTCTGGTTCTTGCTTTAGACTTTGTTTGATATTATTGTGGACATCTTTGAGTTCTGCAACCATTTCCATGTATTTGCTCCATTTTGGCTCAACAGAACTACCAACTCTTATTTCTCTCCTGGAAACCTGGACCCCCCTGCTATTAACAATATTACCCCTTTTGACTTGAGTGATTAGCCAATATTTGGGTCAGTAGGTTGCTTCTGTTAGAAAGAGAAATTAATTATAGAGTCTGGTATTTCTTTGATAGAATTGTGTATATTTACAAATAGAGTCTTGCTTCCCTGACTATAGTAGAAATCACACAGCAGGACACAGTTCCTTTCTTACAATGAGATCCTTTCTTCAGCCAGCACTATGCCTAAAGAGCTCTCTTTCTTAGCTTTCTCTGAAGGCCATGGAACAAGTGTTTCTCTTCCTGAGTCCTGACTCCTTTGCTTTCTGCTTGTCTCTGCCTGCTTCCTGGCTGCTTCTGGCAGAAAGACATAGAGCTGCAAACAAATCAGTCCCCAGCTGTCCTGTGTTTGCATTTAGTCTAGTCTTTGTGCAGTGGCATTTGTTATCAGCCCCAGGGTGTTTTTCATTTTATCAGCTATCACTAAACCATTTGACCATTAATTGTTCCTCATTTAGCCTGAATGGAAGGCAACCAGCAGACCCAGCAGCTGCAAAGACAACATGTTCAACAACAGCACTAGCTAAGGCTATGGCTACCCTAGAAAGCTTGCAGCTGTGCTGCTGTAAGCTCTCTAGTACAGCTACTCTTAGGCTGTGTCTGCATTACTACTTTCTGTGCTAAAACTTTAGCCAATCAGGGGAGTAAGAAAATAGCCCCCCTCCACCGAGAAACAAATCTGTTAGTGCCAAAAAGCAACAGTGTAGACAACACTTTGTCACCAGGAGCCACACTCCCAGTGATGAAACTATCACCCCTCGTTCAGGGAGGAGTTTTTTTAATCACAGAGAGAGCTCTCCCCTCGCGATAAAGCATGATTACACAGTCTATGTCACAGTGCTACCGTGGCCATGATGTAACAGAGAGAATGTTCTTGTTGACTTAATTAATCCACACGCAATGAGTGGGGCACCTATGTCAGTGGAAGAAACTCTCCTGCTGATATGGTACTGTCCACAGCTCTGCTTAGATAAGTGTATCTTATGTCTCCCAAGAGGGTGGCTTATTCACACTCCTGAGTAACAAAGTATACTGACCTAAGTGATAATGTAGACATAGCTTAAGAAAAGGCAGATGCTGCAAGGGTTCATTGTCACAGTTATTGGAAATAAGAAAAGAATTGAGGGATGGTTGGGTCCACTTTATGCCTTCAGGTTGGGAGCCATGACAATATTTGGGGACTATCCAGATGGCCACTGCTGTTTGAAAGGATCTCATCTCACATTCACAAAATGCATGAATGCCAAGAATAACTATTAGACACAAAGTACCAGATTTACTCATCTATGCATATATGTGGCCAGAGGTCTCTTCCAAATCTCAAATTGCTTTTCTTACAAAGGAGTCTCTTATATGCTAATTCGTTCAAATAAATACCACTCAAAAAGAATTTCAGAAGTTCCTAGTTTTTACAGATATGACAATTTCCTGCAGTATCTCCAGAAACCTTTGTTTATTAAATGCAAGTAGCTTTAGAATCCATTGTATTCAAAATGCAAATTTTATGTATTATTGTGTAATTGTACAGTGAAACCTTTGTTATCTGGCACTCTGTTAATGAGAAAACTTAGTTAACCGGCATTGCCCCCAACCACAATACTGTCACATCTTCAGCCTCATAGGCCTGGCTTGGTTTACCATGCTTGGCTTAACAAATTTTTATTTAAGAAGTATTAATCATCTTGAACGCAAAATAGAAATGTGAGATCAACTACCTCACACTACTGTACAAAACTACCAATATTACAAACTTGAGTTTTACTATTATTGTCCATTGGTTTTTCCTAGGCTGATGGGACCCTCAGATAACCGGAATTTTTAGATAACAGGAACGCCCTAATCCCCAAGTGTGCCGGATAACACAGGTTTTACTACATAACTTTCTTTAGGGGAGATATGACCAATGTAAATGTTGGGGAGTGTTCTGAGCATCAAATAACTATTTGTAATAACTGAACTGGTAACCACAGGGGAGGAAAAACTCCTAGGGTTAATCTAACCTACACCCCTCTGCCAACAGAGGGATGTAGATTAGGCACATTGCTATTACAAATGAAGCGAGGATTTAAATATCCCGCACTTCATTTGAATAAAAATGGCCACCGCTTTTTGTTGATGCGGCACTTTGCCGGCAAAAAGCGGCAGTCTAGACAGGGATTGGTCAACAAGGAAAGCCTTTTCCTACTGATCCCTTATGCCTCATGCAACAAGGTGTACAGGATAGGTTGGAAAAGGCTTTCCTTGTTGACTGATCCTCGTCTAGACTGCCGCTTTTTTCCGGCAAAGTGCCACGATATTCTTGCCAGCAAGTTAAGGGAATGCGGATTGGATAAATGGACGGTAAGATGGATAGAAAGATGGCTAGAAGGCCGGGCCCAGCGGGTAGTGATCAACGGTTCGATGTCAGGATGGAGGTCGGTTTCTAGTGGAGTGCCCCAAGGTTCGGTTCTAGGACCGGTTTTGTTCAATATCTTTATTAATGACCTGGATGAGGGGATAGATTGCACCCTCAGCAAGTTTGCAGATGACACTAAGCTAGGGGGAGAGGTAGATACGCTTAAGGGCAGAGATAGGGTCCAGAGTGACTTAGACAAATTGGAGGATTGGGCCACTAGAAATCTCATGAGATTCAACAAAGACAAGTGTAGAGTCCTGCACTTGGGACGGAAGAATCCCAAGCATAGTTACAGGCTGGGGACCAACCAGTTAAGTAGTAGTTCTGCAGAAAAGGACCTGGGGGTTACAGTGGATGAGAAGCTAGATATGAGTCAACAGTGTGCCCTTGTAGCCAAGAAGGCTAATGGCATATTAGGATGCATTAAGAGGAGCATTGCCAGCAGATCCAGAGATGTCATTATTCCCCTTTATTCGGCTTTGGTGAGGCCACATCTGGAGTACTGTGTCCAGTTCTGGGCCCCCCACTACAAAAAGGATGCGGACGCATTGGAGAGGGTCCAGCGGAGGGCAACCAAAATGATTAGGGGTCTGGAGCATATGACCTACGAGGAGAGGCTGAGGGACTTGGGTCTGTTTAGTCTGCAGAAGCGAAGAGTGAGGGGGGACTTGATAGCAGCCTTCAACTTCCTGAAGGGAGGTTCCAAAGAGGATGGAGAGAGGCTGTTCTCAGTAGTGACAGATGGCAGAACAAGGAGCAATGGTCTCAAGTTGTGGTGGGAGAGGTCCAGATTGGATATTAGGAAAAACTATTTTACTAGGAGGGTAGTGAAGCATTGGAATGGGTTACCTAGGGAAGTAGTGGAGTCTCCATCCCTAGAGGTGTTTAAGTCTCGGCTTGACAAAGCCCTGGCCGGGTTGATTTAGATGGGATTGGTCCTGCCTAGAGCGGAGGGCTGGACTTGACGACCTTCTGAGGTCTCTTCCAGTTCTGATTCTATGATAAGGGGATGGTTGGATGAAATAACATGATCTTGGTAACTAATTGACCATTCATTTCCAGTTGGAAATAGGTCAATGGAGGGATGATAGGAGTTGCTATAGGGAACTTTCTGGGTGTCTGGCTGGTGAGTCTTGCCCACATGCTCAGGGTTTAGCTGATCGCCATATTTGGGGTCAGGAAGGAATTTTCCTCCAGGGTAGATTGGCAGAGGCCCTGGAGGTTTTTCGCCTTCCTCTGTAGCATTGGGCACAGATCACAGCTGAAGGACTCTCTGCATGTTGGGGCCTTCAAAGTATTGGAAGGCTTCAATATCTGAGACATAGGTGAGAGGATTATTCTAAGAGGGGTGGGCGAGATTCTGTGGCCTGCACTGTGCAGGGGGTCAGACTAGATGATCATAATGGTCCCTTCTGACCTTAAAGTCTATGAGTCTATGAGTCTATGAGTCACATCAGCAAAAATCAGAGGCCATTTTTATTCAAATGAAGCACGGGATATTTAAATCCCTGCTTCATTTGCAATAGCGATGTGCCTAATCTACATCCCTTTGTCGGCAGAGGGGTGTAGTTTAGACACATCCCTAGATGGTGTTTGCAGGACTGGATGCCATTGGTAGACCACAAACAGGAAACAACAGTGCAGCTGCCCTTGAATTGTGACAACATGAAAAGGTATTTTAGGAAAATAAGATCTAAGTGGTTTTGTTTCTTAGCAAACTCCAAACTTTTTCTAGAAGAATGAGACTTTACAATATTATAGTTCAAAGAATGAACATATGATATTTGAATACTGAAAAAAAAAATTAAATAGGAATCCAGTAATTTGAAATTCTGTAAAAGAGAGATTACATAAAAGGAATTGTAGTACAGATATAATTACTATAATTTTACCTCTCCTATTGCAGTGTGAAAAAGAAAGGTTAACAGCTATAGGAACAATGCAGAAAAATCATTGTCACTGTTATACTACATAGAACACCCATCAGAGCCTTTTTTCAAAGAATATGCCATCTACTCAAAAATAAAATTAAGCATCACATTAGGACCCCTAATCCTGAAAGAACTTACCTTCCTGCACTACTTGATATAGGTATGAATCCCTTTGATTTAAATAGGAATACTCCTACATGTAATGTTACGCAAATGCTCCAGTGTTTCCTGGATCTGCACCTATTTTAAATTTGTGCTGATGTTTGAGAACTTCCTTGAAACAAGTCATCTATTGCCAAGTAAAGTCCATACCTTGTTTTTTTCTAGTAGTTCAGTTTCCACTCTCTTGAAATCAGAATCCAAGTTACTTGATGTGAGTTTATTTCTCCTGTCCAAAAGTTCCTGAATTTCTTTCACCTGGGCCTTCAACCTTCTATTCTCTCTTTCCAGACCTTGCTTTTCTGTTTCAAGTATCTCTCTTTTTCCCCACTCAGAGGTATTCTCAGACTGTAATCTCTCCAGCTGAAAAAGGGAAAAAAATATATTTGTAAAATCTCCTTTTATTGGTGAGGTTTCATGGACACACTGGAAAGCTTAACCTGATACATAATTTAACATAGTTTTTCTGGATTCATAAATGTTTAAATAAGAACATGAAAAAGAAAAAATGTACAAGTGAATATACAGTTATTTATTTGTCTGTACTTTTATCTTTTCATTCATAAAGCACAAGTCAGACTTCAAAAAGGGACAGTGTTAACCACTGTCAGTTATTGTTTTAAACTTGTTCTATTTCCTATCTACTGTTATATATTAATAGTCTTAAAAATAAAGAAAAGGCTTTTTTGGACACAATAGTCATAAGAGAGAGTCAGTTTTGCACACCATTTCCTTAACTATGTCAGAGCCCAGTTTTCCCCCCAGGAGGGGGGAAAAAAACATTTTCATCCTATTGGACACTTTAAAAAAATTGAATGAAATGTTTTGAAACTAATACAATGAACAATGGATGAACATAAACAGGTTTTTGTTATTGTTGATCAGTGAAGGCCCTACTTGTGGTATGATTGTCTAAAAATTACAGCTGAGTTGCAGACTAGCCGTGGAAAATCATGGTAAAGTGGTAGTGCACCTTAATATTTGTAATAATGCAGTTACTTATAACACTATATTATACCATAATAATATCAAATTACTTTTCCATGATTTTCTGCTGTTAGCTGCCCAGAGCTAAGGGCAGGGGATCTGGCTTATATTGGCTGCCCACGGCTGAGATCAGAGGCTCCTGCTCTCATCCCTGGGGTGGCTAGAGATCCCACTATCAGCCCTCTTCACAGAACTCCCACTGTCAAAATTACAGTGGAAGCCTAATATTGCAGAATTTCCAATTTCTGCAATAGCACAGATTTTGCAGGGACTTATAGACAATGGATTCTTTTGTTAGTGCTGCAGCACAGAGGAGATAATGCTTTAATACTTGGCTTTATTGGAGATGTTTAAATTGTAACTTCAATACTAGAACCAACTACCTGGGTGTCCAGAGCAACTTGTTTCTTTGGTTAGCAGTCCTTAGTACTGGGATGAGAATGATCTTTTGTAATCTATCTTAGAAAATGCCACTACCTTACTTCAAAGGAGTTGTGCTTTTGGAATGCTGATCAGTGCCTTACTAAAAGGAGTGAAATGAAGTATCAACAACAACAAAAAAAAAACAGTTAACTGAATGATGGAGAATGAACACCTAAAAAGTGGTTTTATTTACTCAAAGATAGGTAGATGGAGGTTATATCAAGGGTGTATCAAATGCTCTTAAGATTTTAAAGGGAAAGCTGTGGTCAAACGAATTGATTTTTGTACCACAAATCAGATAACTGACACCTATCAAAAACTTTAAAATGGGTTAGAAATGGTCAGAAGCGAGAGAACCGAGCAACCTGAGGCAAGAAAAAGGGCAGGAGAATTCCATCAACAACAGCAGAAAAGTTTTAAATAAAATAACGTGAACTTGGTTACTTGCAGTTTTGTGAAGACCAGAACCAATTATTTGATAAAATTATATGGTCTGACAACTGTGAAAGGCTATAAGGTATCTCTAGCTTTTACTGCAGAGAAAAGCTGTACAAGCCAGCAAGGTTTTCGAAAGAAATCAGACAGAGTCTTGCTTTAGATTTACTCTTTGCAGGCACTGACTGATTTTATTTTAAAATCCCTATGTGGCAAACAGTAAAAAACAATCACGTTCAGGAGAGCATGGTATAGTAGATGAAAGCATTCACAGCATCAGATACACAATAATTCAGAAACTGTTAGTCTCAGATATAGTATTACATGGGGTAAATCAAATTGCAGACTTGTTTTCCCTCTCCCCCCCAAAATAATTGGGGACTAAACAAGCAAAAAAAAATTAGGAACTATACAAGCAAATTAACATAAGCAGAAGATTAATCATGGGTTACATAAGATTTTTTTTCCATATCTTGCTCACAGAACCATCAATTCTACAAACACTTATACATGTGATTAATTTTACTCTTGTGAGTAGTTCCATTAATTTCTATGGAACTCCTCACAGGTCAGTAGTAATAGTGTCATTACTTTCTGACTGAACATGTGCATAAAGCACTAAACCACCATATCAATTGGTTCTATTTAATTGTTTTCTGCAATTCAACTCATGTGATCAGACCTGAGTTTCCTTGTGGAACTTCATTAACATCAAGCAATCAATCTACCTGGTGTAACTGCAGGATCATGGCCTATCTTTGTAGTCTCCACAGAGAGAACAGAGACTAAATGAGTGTAAGCATTGATCAGTATCTCCTTTGTACAGTAAAAACGTTGTTATACAGCATGATGAGGGAATGGGGGATGCAGGCTAATAAAATATTCTGGTTAACTAAGAGTTCAGCGTGTTGGAGGAGGCTTCAGGGTAAGGCAGGGGGATAGGGTGGGGGAGAAGGTATGGGCTCTGGACTCATGGTGCAGGTTCCAAAATGGGGCCAGAAACAAAGGGATCGGGTGCGAGAGAGGGTTCCTGGCTGGGGCATAGGGTTAGATGCAGGAGGGAGTGAGGCCGGTGGCTGGGAGTATAGTCTCTTGGTTGGTGCCAAAGATGAGGGATTTGGGTTGTAGGAGCAGAACTTCAGGCTGGGACTGAGTGTTCAGAGTGTGGAACAGGATGTGGGGTTCATGCTCTGGAAGGGCATTTTTGAGCATGGGGGGGGTGCTTTAGGCAGGCTGTTGTACAAGAGGGGTTTCGAAGTGCTTAGATCCAAGCAGCATTCACCTTGGGTAGCTCTCCACAAACAGCCACATGTCCCTGATGCTCCCAGGCAGACACAAGGCCAGGAAGCCCTGCATGGTGCCTTTGCAGCAGGTGCCACCTCCACAGCTCTCATTGGCTGAGGTTCCCATCCAATGAGAGCTGTGAAGCTGTGAGGCAGGGTCAGCTCACGGAGCCCCCATTGCCATTCTTCTGTCCAGGAGCATCAGAGACATGGGGCTGCTTCTGGGGAACCACTCAGAGTCAGGTTGGGAGCCTTCTGGACCTAGGCCTACTGGACTTTAAACCAGATTTTCAATTAAGATCAGAAATTATGATTTATAGAGATTTCTGGTTGGTATAGGGCTGAATAATGCAGCTTTTACTTCTCCATTCCAGGGTATTGAGACCTTGTGGAATAATTTGTATTGAAACTCCTTATCTGATGTCACTTTTCTGGTTAAATAATGCACCTTTATCAGAACTAGGACATCAAAAAGCAGACATCTATGAGTCATTCTGGTCCTCTCACCTGTACTTTAATTGAATTATTTAATGACATTTTACACTTTTGAGTTTGATGCTAAACCACTTTAGGGGAATTATGGAGTGAGTACAGGGTGTCTACTGAAGCTTGAGTCACCTTTTTGCTTTTGATTGCTGTCTGGTAAAGCTACCTCAATGAGGAAAATCTTCAATATCCCCTTTCTCAATACCATCTTTCCTAATTCCCAGATCTGGGCAGGAAGAATAAAGGTTTTAGCTCCCCATTCTCCGGATGAATTTATGGATGTCAAATGGCCAATGTTCTCCAGCTGGGTGCAGAATCTAAAACATTAGTCTAGAGGGAAAACCATATAACATTATTATGAGCTAAATGTTAGTATGATATAACCTTCACCAAAACTTTAGTTTCTCACACAAGACTTGGGTTCAAACCCACTGCTAATGTTCCAGTATGTCAGGGAAGTATACAGTACTTCAAGTAATGAAATACTTGATAAGTAAACCAAAATTCTGACCATCTCAGTATCTTGACCACCATTATAGGTCCATATTTGTGTGCTCTGTTTGACTATGCAGCCAATAATAAATGTATTAGTTTATAAATTGAGATTCCTTGAGATTCCTCAGTGGCCCCAAACTCAAAAAGGTTTCCCACCCCTGGTATATAAGAACATATTGTGTTTTGAGAAACAAATAAATTACTCAAATGCTTTTGCACTGCTCATTTATTATGCCATTTCAAGGTTTCTCGAACCTTTTCCTTAAGTTCCTGAAAGTGCACTACAGAACTTTGATATGCTTTTCTAGAAATATCACAGTTTTCACAAAAAAAATCTATTCAAAAGCATCTCACCCCAACACACTGAATGAAAATATACAATTTTCCCAGTTTGAGGCTTCAAAATACCAAATTCAATTTTTTTCCAAATTGAAGTCTGTTCTAGTTCTTTCTTTTATAGTGATAGCTTTGAGTTGTGCATTCTAATACAAACTCAGATTTCCCTCAGAACTTTAGGTTTGGGGCCACTGCTAGTAATATTCTACTAGACCATTAAGGATCACAAAAAGCCACTCAACACTTGAGAAATATCGATTGTCATAAAACAAAAAAGCAAAACAGTTAGAACATATTGAACAATTTCACCAAACTGTTCAATTCCATTGAATTGTTCCATTGAATAATTGAAAGACAACTTTGATCCTTGTTCTTGAAAAGTGCAAGAGGAGAGCTCCTATTCAGATCCTGACGGAGGCACTTTTAAATGACACTTAGTATATGCAGATGCATTTTTCAAGAGCTCAACAGACACAACTGGGATCAGATTTTCAACCCATCTTAGTTCCCATTTAGGCCCCAAAGCGAGTTGAGTAGATTTTCACAGTGGGTGCTGAACGCTTTGAAATTTAGGTTTCAACCATAAATACAGAGTTGAAAATACGGTCCATAATGTTTAAAGCCTTTTGTTATTCTTCACACAACAGCTATAGCTTTATAATAATGTTACATCAAAACACTGGTCATCAAAATAAAACCTGACACCTTAGTCTGATCTAGAAGCCTTCCTTCTCAAATCGAACCTTCTCTCAGAAAAACTGAGCTCTCAGTGAAACACAGAATTATGGCCTCCAACATTTTCCCCTCACCCTGAAATATGTATGCAGATACCCATGTTAGAGCTTAATTTGATGGCTAACCTGATTATCCATATATACAGTCTTCAGGAGACTAAGGGTGTGTCTAGACTACTGAGTT